TTCTCTCTTCGTTTTGGTTAGGAAAACTTTTGCAAGGGTTAATAGATTTATACTCTTTTACTAGGGTTTATTATCCTAATTTGATAAACATGTAAAACGTATATTTAGTTGCAAAAAATATTGTCAAATATTGTCAGTTATTTCTATTAAAAATTTCTACCAAACCTAATTGAAGTTTAAACATTTATGTTAATCCAAAATGTTTGATCGGATTTTTAACACTACATATACGAGCTATATTTCTAGTTGGACTGAATCGAACCATAATTTTGATTAGTTTGTTACGGTTAAGGTTTCCTTAGAGTTAAAGCTCTTCACCCTTAGGGTTTAATTCCTTTTTGTTTGCAAGAAAATAATGATTTTTGATGAATTTATAATTTGCTAAAAAATATAAATGATTTATGTATAAATCATAAAAATATGGTGCGATGAGAGTATAAACCACCCGCCAAAACGAACCGAACACTACGTATATGAGATGAGCTGAATCGACCCATAAATTTTTTTAGTTTGTTAAGGTTAAGCCTCCCCTAGGATTATATTAAAAATTCAAGGTTATGTAATACATAAGATTTCTAGTCTAGTGTAAATAGAATTGTTTATAATAATTTCGATTAAGATAAAATTTTGTCGTGGGTTTATAAAAATCAGATAGAAATATTACAATGTGTGATAAATCATATATTTAGATGAAAGAAATTCATAATTAAACTAGGTGATTCCCCGCGTTATACGCGGTTAAGTATTTTTTTAGAAATCAAATAAATAAAAGATTATTATTTCGTGGTTTAAAGTTGCTAATGATTTAAATTCAATTTTCTTTATACAAAATAATTTGTTTTTTTTCCGTTTATTGGCACTAGTTTTATTTTCATTACGTTGACAATAACATCATTTACAATTCAATTAACAAAAAATAATTGAATTGGTCATTGTATCTAATTTTATTTCGTAATAACCAAGTAAGATTTTGTCGTTTCTAAAAGTTTTTCCATTTCTATTGATGTTGTAGTGTCGACGTTGTCGTTAACACATTGCACCAAAGTACTACTACTGTCTGTGTAAATTCTTTTGAAGCTTGAAAATTGACAAAACAAAACACATCATATTATGATCATTTGTGTTCAATATCCATTTGATTAAACCCGTGTGAATTATTGTAGTTTTGAATAACAATATCTAAATAAAATATCTATTATCGATAATATTGGTTTTTGTTAGATTCAATAATGAATTTGGACATTTAGATTAGACGTTTTTTTTTCAAGTTTATTTAAATTGAAAAAAAAAATTCATTATTATTTTCTTATAACTTTATATATAAAAGATGAGTTTAATGTAGAATTAGAAATGATCTAGACCAATAGCATGTGAAATTGGGTTAACTGAATTATGGCCGATTTTATTATTAAGTTTGGACTAATTTTAATTAGGGATTAATGGGCTAAATTAGATCGAATGCCATGTTATATTTTTTACAATGTCATGTCACATTAAAATTGGGAGAATGATTTTGGTGAAGACACATAAGTTTTTTTTTCAAAAAAACCACTCTCTAATTAATATATAAGGAATATGAATTTTTTGATTGCCGTCATCCCTAATCAATATATAGTTGAGCATTATTATGTTAGGTTTAATTGTGGTAAGTAATTGTGTTAATAAAAATGTGGCCATAGATGATTAAATTTGGGTTAATTTATT